GGAGGCGGAGGTTGCCTTGAGCTGAGATCCCCACCACTACACACCAGCCTGGGCAACAGAACCAGACTCTGTCTCAAAAAAAAAAAAAAAAAAAAGGAAAAGAAAGGATCTTTAAATACCTGAAAGAGAGATGTAAACATTTAAAAAGGGAATAATTTAAGTGTAAAAATAATTCTAGCCAATGACTTTATAAGGACTAGCTTTTTGGATTGTGACAGTTCTTAGTTATGGAAGCTAAGACATCCTTACCCCGGTTAGGTAACTCACACAGGTCACAAAGGCTGTTAGTTTTGGAGCAGACGCCTATCCTGCATACTTTGTTTTCAAGTTCTTAACTGTCTCTATCCCTTTATTTGATTAGCTGATCCAGTACAGAGTAATAGTCAAACATTTAAGGAAGTTGGTATTTAGATTTGCAAGTAGGAAGAAGGGGACAAATATTTTAAACTCCTTCAATGTTCCTGACACAATATTAAGAACTTAGGAAGTTTTCTCACTACTTATCTTTATACTTATATTTGGTAAAGCCTTTATAAGACTATAAGATCTGAGATTTGTTTGGAATCAAGCAACTGAACAATGAAAAATAAATACAAGTAATTAAAGATTTGGGAAGTAACTCTATTAATAGAAGAAAACATAATGTATTTGTTGTGTAGAAAAGGGTATGTTAATGAGAAACTTAGTAATAAGAGTTTCTAGATATCTAAAAGGCATTTATGACCAGAGTTTTCTTGTTTTCCCAAGCCAATATAAATAGAAACGAAACTAAATTATATGGGGCAGCATACAGTATTCATGAGTAAAATGTAGCTAAGAATTAGCATGGTGCTGATAGAATATTGAGTAACCACTGTATATCAGTAATAAAGGCAGAGACAGAGATAGAGATATCAAGCTACATTAGGAAAGATGTAATATCAATTCTCATTCCTTTGCTCTCCGGTGTTTTTCTTAGGGAAATAAACATAAATACACAAATATTTATGTATATGAAGTTCATCCTGCTTTCCAAACTGTAAGTTATGTGAAATTGTCTCTATTCTTAAAGAAGTATAAGAAACTCATAGAGTTTAAGAAGTCTTCCCAATTTCTTAAAGAAATTAAGTGGAAGTCAAGGGAGGCAGTTGATGGAGAAAAAATTAAAGCACAAAGCTTGGAGGTAGAAGATCTGAGTTCCAGCGTGGACTTGGGCACTTTCTGTCATTTGACTGTGAGAAAATTACTTCTCAATACTTTATTTGTAAAATAAAACTTAAGAATACACACAAAATTGTTGGAAAGATTAAATAGGCATCGTGTCAGTAGAAACACTTTGAATATGAATATAAATACTTTTTAAAGAATTTATGGAACAACAGACTTCCTTCTTGGCCTATGGTTGAAGGTTAAATTCAAGAAAACTAAATGCTCATGTTTTTAGTCAATAAGACTTTGATCTAAACTTTTAAAACTGCTTCTGAGCAAATGTTTTCATTTGACTACTTCTCATCTTCAAACTCATGCATAGTATAAGTCATTCTTGCCATCTAACATGCGTCCAATACAGTTCATGACTTGCATTAACTTTGAGAGATTTTAGTTATCTAATAGGGAAAGAAATAGTAGTTAGAACATTGGGCATCTTTGAGTGATCACCTACCCAATATTTTCAGAAAGTACTACAAGATGGCCCTTGTGACATACAGGGATGGAGAATTACAGCGAACAATGTACACTACTTACAATTTCAGAGAAGAACAGGATGGATCTTAGGGCCAACAAGTTTAAAATGTCTTTTACCTCTTATTATATGTTACTCATTTTATCACATCCAACTGGAATTATTCTTGCACTTATTATTGAAAGCTTCTAGAAATTTGCAAGAAGCACGTAGACCCAATAATTGATCTGATCATTAGTCACCAAAAAAAAAAAAAAAAAAAAATGCTTAAGTCATAAATAGCAGCAGAATCCATTGATCGTAAATAAAGTAGAAGGGAGACATTACTGAGCAATTTCCACCAAGCAAGATAATTAAAGTCAGAGATGCCGTTTCCTGCTTCCCTGGTATAAACAATGAAGCTGCTCTACTGGCCTCTCCACAGCCTGGATGTCCCAAGGCCACCTCCCTCTTCTTTCCTTCCACATTCTCTAAAGAGGATTCTGGGTCATAAGGGAAGGAAAATTGGTGTAACTTCTTTCCTGAAACGACTTCAGCTTTCTCTGTGTTTGTATTTGTGACATCTTATTATGAGACGAGCTAACATCTATTATTAATTGATGCACTAATTAAAGCCATACTTGCAGTTTCCATTAGCTTATTCCCTAAATTCTCCAGAGTTGGCTGTCTGGTTTTAATCAAAACCAAATGGTAGTCCAAATTCCCAGCCTGGAGCAGCTAGAAGGAAGTCATTCAGGGGAGGCACAAGAAAGCAGAAAAGATAAACAGATGATAGTTCACAAAATTTGTGACGGATGAAGGATGCAGATACCATGAGCGGCTTTAGAGATGTGATTCAGGAATGCTGCCATGCTAGATGGAAGCAGTTGTAAGTGTTTAATGTCAGCAAGACTCTAATACGATCAAGATGGAGCCTGTCTTCTGCTCCAGCACTGGATTTTTGTAACTGGAGGATTCTGACTAGAGGTAATGTGCTGCTGCATTTGCCATAACACAAACTATTTTAATTCTGTGAAGGATTCTTGTGATCAGAGAGATCTGGAAGAAATCGTTCTATTAACTGAATGCTTGGGATTTTACTTACAGATGGTCTCAGGGACAAATGAAAAGCTGCAGCATTTCCAATTTTAAGTCACGTTCAAAAAAGGTTTTACCATTTAGAAGAATTATGGTATTAAGGCTAAATTCATCTTGCTCTCTTAAAAGATCTTTTGAAATGAGAGCAAGCAAAGGCATTTTGATTAAGCTGTGCATATACATTTAATATAGTGGAAAGGTTGTGGATGGAGAGAGAACTATGTTTTCTTTTTTTCTTTCTTTTTCATAAGCAGTGTGGGATAGAAAAAGCTCTAGGACTTTATGACTCTCCAGCTAATCACCTCAAGAGCTCTGACAAAACTCACTTGAGTTCTGTGTAAAATCAGAACTCCTAAAACGCCCAGGCGGCTGGGCTCTCCCCTCCTCCCCTCTCTTCGTACAGCCTTTCTCGCATGCACACTCCTCAGAGGCAGGAAATACTTTCCAGGCAATCTGGGCCTGGTTGTGGAGGCCCCTTTTGCAAAACCTCAGTCTGAATTTAGTAGACAGAAGTCACTAGGAATGCCTTGACAGAATCCTGCCTTAGCTAAGGCTCCCTCCAGCTGCAGAGGGTGTTTTCGTTAGAATCACACACTGCGTGAAACTGCTCAGAATAGAGCCATGATCTCAACCACGAAATGGGAACTTAGATTTTGGAGAAACCAACGGGGACGGACTTCTTTCCTAGCCTGAGTGTTGAGCAGTGTCATGCCTTGGCGTTTCAGCTCCTCGTTGTCTAGGTAAGACGCTATGGACTATCTTTATGCTTTGAGGCGGTCTTTGAAGAGAGAGAAAGATTGAGATAAATGTTAGCATCTTGCCCTGAGTTGGTGACTTCCTAGGTTTTAGAGCAAAGCCATAAAATCAGAAGTGGAAAATGTTTGATAAGTAGAAAATTGTGAGTCAATTCGTTTTAGCAAACTGTCAGTTCTAAAATAGACTCCATATAGATTTAACTGTTTTCCTCCATAAAGTAAGATTTTATTTTTATCCCTTTTTATGTTTAACTTATTTATTAATTGAGCTGTCAGATCAGTTTTCCTATTTCTTGGCACAACGTGAAACAAATACATTTTCTCACACATCAGTGTGAGGTGTAAATGAATTCCTACCCTACCTTCCTGTGCCAAGAGGGAGAGTAGAAAGCACCCGAGTGACTTTTGCTTAATAATCAGTCTCCAAACAGTATTTTGTGTCTCATTTAAAACTACGAAGATTGAATTTCTTATTATTTTACCCAAGCCAGTTTCAACCATATGTCAAGCTTCTCCTGTACAGCTTAAAAGGTTCATTTTTTTAAAAAAGTAAACACGTGAAATTTCAGGAATTATTTCTCTCCTAAGTAGTATTTAATCTGAGTTTTGGAAATTTAAGTGTCGGAATCGAATTTAGTTTACATTAATTTTCTTGGATTCACTGCTTAGGTCACATTTTGTGTAATATTTTGAATAACTGAAGTCAATCTCAATGACACTGACACTCATTATAACTCTTTTAAGGCAGTCAGAAATCACTCCAGTCATATGGAAACTGTTTGTGTCCTTACTTTATGTAATCATAAAATTACATTTCCACCTGACTGTAGTCTCTTTAAGGTAATCTTAAATGTTTAAATGTACAATATATTAGGAAAGAACTTTAGTAATGACTGAAAAAGTATGGACTTATAATGCATAAGATACTGTTATATTTCTGAATATTTATAATAAAAATCATCATTTTCCAGAAATAAAATGGTACATAAAGGGAAGAAATATTCATGTACATTTTCAAATCTATTAGATGAACACAAAATATACTAAGTGAAAGATGGAGAGCTATTTTGACAGTTGAATCATAAGAAATCAAGTAAGTGTTTTCTTTATAAGTTTTTATTTAGTACAAGGTGACCATCTGCTATATTAGCTATTCTCAAATTTTATACTAGAATAACTTATATTGATACATTTTAACTATTCAGTGACAATTTGTGTTAAAACTCCTTAAATATGAGAAAAAGAATCCACTTTTTATATATGTGAAAGATAAAATACTGACTTACCTAAATTATGATTTAATTAAAATCTCCAAATGGAATTTCAGGGAAGGAAAGAACGTAAGAGATCGTCTCCTCTAACACTGTCTTGAGCTTGCCTACAAGAAGCTGAGAAATGGGATTTAAAAGTGACCTGTCCAAGGTCACACCTCTAGCTAGCAGAAGAGATGACAGCAGAGCCACAGTGCCCTGATTCATAATTCATGTATCTTTTTATCCCATCATCCTGCCCTCCAATAATAATTATGCATAATGAAGTATGAACATGTCCAGTAGAAGGGTGCTTTACAGACAGAAAATTGGAGATCCTCTTATTTAAAAAAAAAAAAAAAAGAGTAAAGCTGTCACAGTGTTACTTATATGGGAAAA